AGTAGACCATGTAGCTTTAGGGAAAGAAGCAAGAGCTAAGCTCAGAATACTCCGTAATCATAAGAAATAACTGTAACATCTTCGTAATATGACACCTTGGTGAGAAGGGCATGGGGAAGGGTTTTGGCTCTCAGCACCAGAACACAAGAGCTTGCGAGACCAGAGCATTAGTGATGGGCAGTCTCTACACCTGTGGTGCTAAGAGTCACGAGACTGCATTTGTAAGAAGCTGCGGAGAAGGAAGTCAGAGAGTGTACACACATTCTTTCATGGACCTGCTCACTCTTGACTCTTTTGCTTCTCCTGCCTGCAGAATGCCTGCACGGTGTCTCTCTACTAAGACTGCTAAGATTCATTCTCTTATTAAGACTGCTTCTCTTCCTCAAATATTGTCTCTCTCTCTTTCCCTTCTGCTAAAGCAAATAGCCCTAAGGCATCTAAGGGCAATTGTTCTTAAGTAAGATAATAGCATAGTGTTCTGCATCTGGACACTAGATAAGCTGGGGCCAGAGACCTGGCCAGTCCAGGGCCCAGACACAATTTATATGCTCCCAGATTCCTGAAACAGACCTTAATTAGTCTGAGCAATATGATATCCCATAACACCACAATGGCAGGGGACTTCAACAATTCTCTTACAGAGCTGGCCAGATCCTCTAAACAGAAACTAAACAAAGATACAAGAGACCTAAATGTGACCCTAGAACAACTGTGCTTGATAGACGCATATAGAACACTCCATCCAAAAGCTAAAGAATATACGTTCTTCTCATCAGCCCACGGAACATTCTCCAAAATTGATCATATCCTAGGACACAAAACAAACCTCAACAGAATCAAAAGAATTGAAATTTTACCTTTTATCTTCTCAGCCTACAAAGCATTAAAGGTGGAACTCAACCCCAGCAAAAACATTCAAACCCTCACAAAGACATGCACATTAAACAACCTTATGCTGAACAACTTTATGCTGAACAGTGAGTTCAGAAAGAGATAAAAGAGGAAATCATTAACTTCCTTGAGCATAACAACAATGAAGACACAAGCTACCAAAACCTGTGGGATATAGCAAAAGCAGTCCTGAGAAGAAAATTTATTGTTTTAGATGCCTACATCTGAAAAACAGAAAGGGAGTGCATCAACAAACACACAAACCATCTTATGGAACTGGAAAAAGAAGAACAGGGTTTAAGCCTAAATCCAGCAGAAGAAAAGAAATATCCAAAATTAAATCAGAGATTAATGAAATTGAAAACAAAAGAATCATTCAGAAAATTAATGAAACAAGGAGTTGGTTTTTTGAAAAAAATAAATAAAATACATAAAACTTTGGCCAGACTAACTAGAAATAGAAAAGTAAAATCTCTAGTAACCTCAACCAGAAATGATAAAGGGAAATAACAACAGATGCAAGAGATCATCTCTGAATATTATAAGAAACTCTATGCCCAGAAATTTGAAAATGTGAAGGAAAAGGATCAATATTTGGAATCACAACTTCTCCCTAGACTTAGCCAGGAAGAAACAAATCTCCTGAACAGACCAATTTCAAGCACTGAGATCAAAGAAACAATAAAAAATCTCCCAACAAAAAAATGCCTTGGTTCAGATGGCTACACACCAGAATTCTATCAAACCTTAAAAGAAGAGCTTATTCCCATACTGAAGAAAGTATTCCAAAAAACTGAAGAGGAAGGAATCTGCCCCAACATGTTTATGAAGCAAACATTATCCTGATACCAAAATCAGGAAAAGACCCAACTAAAAAGGAGAACTTCAGACCAATTTCACTAATGAATATAAATGCAAAAATTCTCAATAAAATCCTAGCCAATAGACTACAGCTTCTCCCATAAAAAGTCATACATTATGATCAAATAGGTTTCATCCCAGAGATGCAAGGCAAGGCTGGTTTAACTCACACAAGTCACCATAAACATAATTCACCATATCAACAGAAGCAAAAACAAAGACCACATGATCCTCTCAATAGATGCAGAAAAAGAATTCAATAAAATCCAGCATCCTTTTCTAATTAGAACACTGATGAGTATAGGTATAGGTGGCACATTTCTTAAACTGATCGAAGCCATCTATGACAAACCCACAGCTAATATTTTCCTGAATGGAGTAATACTGAAAGCTTTTCCACTTAGAAGTGGAACCAGAGACAATGTTGTCCTCTATCACCATTACTATTCAACACAGTGCTAGAAGTTCTAGCCAATATAATCAGGTAAGAGAAGGAAAGAAAGGGCATCCAAATGGGAGCAGAAGATGTCAGACTCTCCTTCTTTGCTGACAAAATGATCTTATCTTACTTAGAGAACACCAAAGACTCAACCACAAGATTCCTGGACGTCATCAAAAAATACAGTAATACTTCAGGATATACAATCAATGCCCACAAATATGTAGCCTTTGTATATGCCAATAACAGCTGAGTTGAGAAGTTAGTTAAGGATACAATCCCCTTCACAATAGCATCAAAGAAAATGAAATACCTAGGAATATACCTAACAAAAGAAGTGAAGGACCTCTATAAAGAAAATTATGAAACCCTAAGAAAAGAAATAGCAGAAGATATTAACAAATGGACAAACATACCATGCTCATGGCCAAGAAGAATCAACGTTGTTAAAATGTCTATATTTTCCAAAGCAATCTACAGATTCAATGCCATCCCTATTAAAATACCAACATTGTACTTTCAAGATTTAGAGAAACTAATTCTTTGTTTTGTATGGAACCAGAAAAAGACACATATAGCTAAGGCAGTTCTTGTTCTAAGAAAAACAAAGCTGGGGGCCTACCAGACTTTAGGCTGTCCCACAAGGCCATAGTGGTCAAAACAGCATGGTACTGGGACAAAAATAGAGACACAGACATTTGGAATCGAATCGAAAACCATGAGATGAAACTAACATCTTAATAGCCACATAATCTTTGATAAACCAAATAAGAACATACATAGGGGAAAAGAATCCCTATTCAATAAATGGTGCTGGGAGAACTGGATATGCACATGTAAAAGACTGAAACTGGACCCGACCTTTCTCCACTCACAAAAATTGATTCACGATGGATGAAAGACCTCAATTTAAGACATGAAATGATAAAAATCCTCAGAGAAAGCATAGGAAAAACACTTGAAGATATCGGCCTGGGGAAAGACTTTATAAAGAAGACTTCCATGGCAATTGCAACATCAGCAAAAATTAACAAATGGGACTAAATTAAACTGAAAAGCTTTTGTATAGCTAAGGAGACAACAATCAAAGCAAACAGACCATCTACACAATGGGAAAGGGTATGTGCATATTTTGAATCAGACCAAAGCTTGATAAGGACTTTACCTATCAACTAGGATATACAGAGAACTCATGAAAAAAGCCAACAAGCCATTATATCAATGGGCAAGAGAGATGAACAGAAACTTTTCTAAAGAAGACAGACAAATGGCTAATAAACATATGAAAAAATGTTCATCATCCCTAATTAGAGAAAGGCAAATCAAAACCACCCTGAGATATCATTTAACCCCAGTGAGAATGTCCCACATCACAAAATATCAAAACTGCAGATGCTGGCATGGATGTGGAGAGAAGGGAACACTTTTACACTGCTGGTGGGACTGCAAATTAATATAACTTTTTTTGGAAGTAAGTATGGAGAACTCGCAATGAACTCAAATTAGACTTCCCATTTGGTTCTGCAATCCCATTACTGGGCATCGACCCAGAAGAAAAAAAATCCTTTTACCATAAGGACACTTGCACTAGATTGTTTATTGAAGCTCAATTTACAATCATGTGGAAACAGCCTAAATGCCCACTAACCCAGGAAAGGGTTAACAAGCTGTGGTATATGTATACAATGGAATACTATTCAGCCATTAAAAAAGATGGAGACTTTATATCTTTTGTATTAACCTGGATGGAAGTGGAACACATTATTCTTAGTAAAGCATCACAAGAATGGAGAAGCAAGAATCCTATGTACTCAATTCTGATATGAGGATAATTAATGACCTAGTACATGGTGGGAGGAGGAAGGGGAGAGCAGAAAGAGGGAAGGAGAGAAGGGGGTGGGGAGGTCATGGTGTGTGACACACCTTTTGAGGGTGGGACACCATTATAAGAGGGACTTTACCTATCAAATGTAATCAGTGTAATCTGGTTCTTTGTACCCTCAATGAATCCCCAACAATTAAAAAAAAAGCAACATTTACTAATAAAAATATCAATGAATAAAATTTGCTTCAGAAGTTTAAAGTTAACAGCAAATAAGAAAATTAAAATCTAGCACTTAATTATTCATCCTTCATTACCTTTTATTTAAATTTTTATTCTTGGGTTACATACTTTAAAGGTAAAAAAAATAAATCTCTCTTAAATTTAATCACATAGAATATTTGGAAGAATACAAGATAAACCTTTTTATAATTAGTTTTTGATGATAACCCCATAAATGCATCTATGTACACAGTTATGATTTAATAATAAAAAAGCAATTGCAAATCATTAAAGGGTATGGATTTTTAAAAAATAGTATTTGATGACAATGAGAGGCTTTAATTTTCAGTGGGAAAGCAAGTTTTATAAACCTCTTTACAAAGTTGCAGCCATTTTAAAACTTGGGGCCTAATTTAAATAAGAGCCATAAAATTGTCAGGATGATGTTTTTTCCAGCTAACTTAAAACTAAATGTCAAAGTAGATTTTAAACAAAAACCTTTAATCAATGATGCTTCTAATCTCAAAAATTTAATATAAAAAGCATAAAATATTAAAATATAGACCTTTTAGGCAATAAATTGTTTTTGTTTTTGTCTTTGAAAGATTCAAGGACCAATCCTCTTTGTTCACACATTGCTTGCAACACAGTTGATCATCTGATCCATAGTACAGAGATTAAGGTGTGGCTTTGTTGTTCTACATTTTAATATTCTTCAAATATATTTCTGATTTTCTCTCTACTTACATTTCTTATTTCACATACCATTTGTAATTATTGCATTCAGTAATCCTTCTGGAGGACAAGAAATGTAAAACCTCTGGTGGAATTGTGAGCTTGCTTCTTCCGAGATGATAGCTCTTAAAGTTTCGTCCTCTTGACTTATACCAGGAGTGACGATGATCTGAAGTAAAACAAGGATTCTTTGAGGAACTATACTTTCCATACAATTTTATGAATGTACTAAACCACCAAATCTCACAATTAAATCCACTTTATTACTGTCAAAATGGGAGTCATATATGTAAGAGAAGAGTCATGTTAGACATCAATAGGCATTGGGGGATGTTGTAGCAGTGCATTTTTCAAGGCAACTTGTTTTAGTTTGTTATAGACTTGATTCCCTACCATGTCATTTACCATTTATGAATAAAGTGAGCAGGTACTGTAGGCATGATAATTGAAAGTGTCCATCCTCTGTCCACTTCACAAAGATTAGTCAACAAAACTTTTAGAAATGAAAATACAACTAAATTGGAAAGAAGGTAACTATAATTTTACTTGGATTCATCTCATTTGAAAAATGGTACAACTGAAAGAAAAATGAGAAAAACATGGGTCAAGCATTCAGAAATGCAGGTGTGCTCCCACTAATACTAATACTAATCCCAGATAACACATGTAGGTACATCAAGAATTTACCATAATTTTCCAGGCTTTTTAATGGTAGTTAATCTAATTATGAAACTACTGATTTGGAATAAAGCAATCTTCTGTTTGTGAAAATACTGATAAACTTCTCCCAATGTAAAAACTAAACATAAAGGGGAACCATCATATACTTTGGTAGGAATGTAAATTAGTTAATCACTATGGAGAACAGTAGAGGTTCCTCAAAAAACTAACAATAGAAGTACCATATGACTAAGCAACCCCACTGCTAGGTATATATCCAACAGAAGAGAATTTAGTATATTGGAAAGATATCTGCACTCCATGTTTATTGTAGCATATTCACAATAGCCAAGATTTGGAATCAATCTAAGTGTCTATCAACAAATGAACAGATAAAGATACTGTGGTACATATACATAATGGAATATTATATAGCCACAAAAAGAATGATATCTTCCCATTAGCAACAAGATGGATGGAATTGGAGAACATTGTGTTAAGTCAAATGATCCAAGCACAGTAGGACAAATCTTTCATGTTCTCATACACATATGTGAACAAGACAGAGAGCAGATTGAATGTTAACAGAGGATGGTGGAAGGGTAGCAGGGAGGGGGGATAAAGTGGGGAGATAAAGTGGGGATAAATTGTTAAGGGTGCAAAAATATAGTTAGGTAGTTAGAATACTGTTTGATAGCATAACAAAATGACTGTAATCAACAATAAGTTAGGTTGTATGTTCAAATAACTAAAAGAATGGAATTGGAATGTTTTTAACACAAAGAACCAATACATGCTTGAAGGAATGGGTACCCTAATTATCTTAATTTGATTAATTCACATTAATCAAAACAGAACAGGTACCCTATAAAGATACATGTACCCATAATAATTAAAAATTTAAAAATTTTAAAAATATATTTTGAAATAACTTAAAAAATTGTAAAAGGAGAGCTTTATTTCTTGTGAAGGGGGTCTCAATCTGCAGTGGCCATTCTAACAGGGCGGAAGACACTACTTTGGCCATCAGCTAGAAAGATGGATTTCAAAGGAATGACAAAAGGGAATGGGATTTTATACTGGTGACTAAATATACATATTTAACAATCTATAGGAGGAGTCATGAATATTTATGAAGAGAAAACATGCATGTGTAATTGTGCTTTACGCTTCTTATCTTGGCTGAGCCTGAATTTTAAGGCTTTTTTTCTCAAATGCCCTTGGCTGAGAGGGGTGTGTTCAGCTAGGGGTGCTTAGGATTTTATTTTTAGTCACATCTATCTGTATGTTTCCTTTGGCATTTATAAGAATAGTAAGAATTTTTCCTCATTTAAAAAACCTCATAAACAATAATAAAAACAACAAAACACCAGACTAGACTTAGAATAGACCCAGGAATAGAGATCTCCAAACTTGCCTTAGAATTGTCATGGGGTGTGTATGTGGGGGGGGGGTGTTCACACATACACTAGCACTGTACATGGATTGATAACACTTGGAGTGCAGTGGGAGAGAGAACATATTGTCACAGGAAATGGTAACAAAGGCTAGAAGGCACAGACAGATTAAAGAAGAGGAGAGTTAACATTTGATGACACTCCAGCAGCTGATGGCTAAAATGAATTATATTGCCCCTTAAAATCAAAGTTCTTCAAATCTGTTGGTGTTCTGGCATAGAGGCTTTTTCTAGAAATTTCTGTCACCATAGAAGAGGGTTAAAGACACAATAGTGAATTTTTATTAAGGTGGGTGACAGATCATATACAGTAAAACTATTAATTTTATTTTATTATTTCAGAATTATAATAAATTGACATAGACTAGGATGACTTCTTCACAAAGTAATTCAATTAAAGGTGAATATTTAAAATATTTTTAGAAAGACTTTTCTGGCCTTTAAGAACTACAAAAACATCTATTTCTGAAAATAAGCAATATATAAGTCTAATTATAAGCAATTATTACTTAGTAAAACTAGATCAACAAAGGGTCTAAAGACTAAATCTATATGCTTATAAAATGAAAAACTTGGGTCTCTTCAAAACACACAGCCCAGCATTTTTAATTAATTCAGATTCATATTTACCTCTATTAGTTTAAATTACTGACTTTTTCCTGGACATGGCAAGAAATTATAAGCCACAGTTCTCCTTATTCCTAAAATCTGCCTTCTTCTCACTAAAATACTTTGTTATCACCTCTTTTCATTTGTCCCATTCTTTCTACTGATTCCCTAAAACCTATTAAAAGTAGCTATTTCAAAATTAATACTTTTCATTTTTAAACCAGACATATAAAATAAACTAGTAGGTGAATTTTAGAAATAATTTTTAAGATCAGATTGATTTTTACATCATATATTAAAATAGAGTTTTAAGTTTTTACCTGAGGAACTGTAGATATTTGGGAGATTTTATCCTCCATCTGTTCAGCTTTTGATTCTGTGTCATGCATGCTAAGATTTAAAAGAAAAATAATTTGAAAGAAAAAGCAAGACTATAAATCCATATGAAATCAAACAGTGGCTAAAGGGAATTAATTTTGAATTTTTTTGGAGACAGAGTCTAAGGCTATCGCCCTGCGTAGACTGCTGCAGCGTCACAGCTTACAGCAACCTCAAACTCTTAGGCCCAAGTGATTCTCCTCCCTCAGCCTCCCAAGTAGCCGGGACTACAGGTGCCTGGCACAATGCCCTACTATTTTTTCTGTTGCAGTTTTCATTGTTGTTTTAGTTGGGCCAGGCCAGGTTCAAACCTGCAAGCCTTGGCACATGTGGCCGGCGCCCTACCCACTGAGCTACGAGAACTGCCTTTTAATTGTTTTTGTCATGAAATTATATCATAGTCAAGCCAGATGTCTTTATAGCAAAAACAGCTCCAAATATTCATTCTGAAGTTATTAATCACAGCCATGTACATAAGTTTTAAAAACCATTAGCATACATAAATCGAACACTTCTTTATAGTTCATAATGCTGGGCCATATCTTAGAAGCATATTTTAGAAAATTCCAATGTTTTATTTCATGCACTGAACTTCTTGTTTGAGATAATCTCCATAGTTGATTTACTCTATCCTCAGTCATATTCCTGTATCAGAAACTCTACAAAAATTTATAAAGAACAATCATCTACATTAATATCTACATCTATCAGTTACCGATACACACTATCTTGTTATGTGGTGCATTGGAAAGTCTATAGATCTAAAATTTAAACATATGTACATATATATAAGACTTATTTTGACTAAGAATGAACTAGAACCATATCAAAAGAAGAATTATGTCTGGAAACTTTTGCTTTAAAATATCTGTTCTTTCTCTGTGATGTTCGCTTGCATTGAAGGTAGGGAGAATGCCTTTGTCTTAAAAATGTTTTTCTTGGGGGGCAGCGCATATGGCTCATTGAGTAGGATGCCAGCCCCATATACTGAGGGTGGCGGGTTCAAACCTGGCCCTGGCCAAACTAAAATAACAACAACAAAAAAAGTAGCCGAGCGTTGTGGCAGGTGCCTGTACTCCCAGCTACTCGGGAGGCTGAAACAAGAGAATTGCCTAAGCCCATGAGTTGTAGGTTGCTGTGAGATATGACACCATATCACTCTACCAAGGGCAATAAAGTGAGACCCTGTCTCTAAAAAATAAAAAATGTCTTTCTCTCAATTACTGAGTTATTATTGAAAACAAAACTAAAGGTTTTAAATTTTACCACATACTGTTTCAAGCATCTATACTATTTAAAAAGGCAAGCAATTTTAATAAAAATTTGCTAGGTGCTGTACCTCTTTTGTCCCACTGTAACAAAGTAAAATATTGCTATTTTAACAAAATCCTGTAAGGAATCATAACTGAATTTATAACTTTATTAAAGCAGAAAGTAACACTCATTTAAAAATTATATCTAAGTCTCTTTAAAGTAGAATTCCATTTTAATTAAAATAATTGTCAACATTACTGTCTTGCCACTAGAATGACTGCCTTGTCATTAGCTGTTAGATCAGGAGCTAAGAGCTAGTGAGCTCTAAGACAAGGAGGGTCAGTGAATCGCTCTAGTTTGTGAGGACAGGACACAAAATTAATTCACTCAATTTCTGAATGCCTATTCTGAGCTCTGAAGGTAGAGCAGCAAAACAAAACAAAACAGAAATACAGGCGTCTACTCTCATGGAGATTATATTCTGATTGGGGGAAAGGGAAGATAATACACATAGACTGCAGTAAGTACTAAAGAAAATAAATGAGGATGCTGTTAACAGATCAAGGGGACATTTGAACCGTGACCTAACTGAGGAGAAGCTGTGTATCATCGTAGCTAGATGGACTAGCAATAGGCAAACATAAGACCAAGAATCAGACAAATAGCAAGAAATCAAGACTAGGCAGCTAGTGTAAGATCTGTAACCATATATAATAATAAGGATGGCAGTGCTTGAAACCCAGGCAATCAGACAATGCATTAGCGTTTCAAAACCTAGGTAAGGAGTCTGAATAATCAATGTACAGGTAATGGCCGTTAACAGAACTGTGGTACTGAGTCAAGCAATATTGGTGACTGGCAACTCCTCAATACTCTATGTAATCTGTCAAGAGTGGAATCAATAGGTGTTAGGCCTAGCAACTAAAAGCAAGAACTCTGGAGCTGAGATAGTAACATATTCCACTTTCTTTTTTATCTTTTAATAACTGTAGGTAGTAGTTTATCTCCATAGGCCTCCATTTCCTTATCTGAAAAATAATATCATTATGCTTAATTTATTGGTTATCATAAGGATTAAATGATGTAGTAATAGCCAACACAAGTTGAATATGTTAAGCACTTAACACGAATCATTTCCTCCAAGTCTCATAACAACTCTATGAGGTACCATGTTTCTCCCAAAATAAGACACTGTCTTATATTTATTTTTTCTCAAGAAGACACACTAGGGCTTATTTTCAGGGGCTGTCTTATTTTTATTAAGTATAATACAACAATCTACATTTATTCAAATACAGTTAAATCATCTTCTTCTGGAACCTGACAGGGGGAGCTGACCTTGTTGGTGGGGCTGGTGCTAGTGATGCATGAATTCCTTTCCCCTAGCCATTGGCAAGTGCACAATAGGATGCCTGCGGCTGTGGTTACCACTCGTGCACCAGCGCAAGTGCAAATGGCTTGGAGAAAGGAGCTGTAGCAGATAAAAGTCTTCCAGTCTTCCTTACCACTCCACACGGAAATGCAGGGTGTGGCTATGCAGGATATAGCATAGTATATCTGCATAGTCATGCCCATCACTAGGTCTTATTATTGGGGGTAGGGCTTATATTTAAGCATAGAAATCCTGCTAGGGCTTATTTTGGGGGTAGGTCTTATTTTTGGGGAAACACGGTATTTACCATTATTATCCCCACTTTACAGATGTTGAAAATGAGACACAGGAAAGTTAAGTAATTGCCCCAGACTTACACAACTAGCAAGTGGCAGAGCTGGAATTTGAACTACCTTGGTATTGTCTGACTTTTTCCTCTTAGTTATTCTGGTAATACTATGTTGTGGAGTCAAATTGCATTTTCTTCATGATTAAGAAACACTTTTTCATATATGTATTGGCCATTTGAATCTTTAGTATTCAAATTTCTGGCCTATTTTTTATTGTGTTGGAAGCTATTTTCATATGGATTTGTTGAAGTTCTTTCAGTATCCTAGATATGAATCTTTTACTGGATATATAATCAGCCAATACCATCTCTCACTGTCTGGCTTGCCTTTTCACTCTGATGATGTATTTTTAGAAAGATATTTTAATTTGGTCCAGTTCATCCTTTATGTTTAGAGCTTATGTTTATGTTCTTCCTTTATGATTAGAGCTTTTATTGTTTCAGAAATCCTTATTTTTGGATTTAATTCTGTTCCACTGCCCATTTGTCTACTTTTATGCCAAGATTACTCTAGTGATTGTATAATAACTTCCTGGTTTTGTTTCTCTTCAGAGCTAGATCTATTCCTTAGAACCAAATTGTTACATACCACATATACACATGTGTACACATACCCACATCCACACACTGCTGAAATTTGACTGAAATTGCATTGAATTTATAGGTTAATTTGGGAAGAACTGACATCGAACAATATTGAATCTTTCAATCCTTGAAGATTGTATATCTCTCCATTTATTTACATTTGCTTTGATTTATCTTAAAAATGTTTTGTAGTTTTCAATGTAGAGAACTGCATGTCTTTCATTAGGCTTATTTTTAGGTATTGGATGATTTTTGGATGTTAATAAAAATAGTACAATTTAAAAATTATTACTTGTTTTCTTCTGGCATGCAGAAATATAAGTTTTGTTTATTTCACTTTTATCAATCTTTGATAAATTCATTTAATTCTAATAATCTGTAGATTCTTATCGATTTTCTGAGTACATAAATGTATGGTTGGCAAATGCAAGTTTTATTATTTCTTTTCAAACTTTTTTTTTTTCCTGGAGACAGAGTCTCATTATGTCACCCTTGGTAGAGTGCTGTGGCATCACAGCTCACAGCAACCTCAAACTCCTGGGTTTAAGCAATTCTCTTGCCTCACCCTCCAGTAGCTGGTACTACAGGTGCCCGCCACAATGCCTGGCTATTTTTTTGTTGCAGTTGTCATTGTTGTTTAGCTGGCCAGGGCGGGGTTTGAACCCACCAGCCTTGGTGACGTGGCTGGTGCTGTAACCACTGTGCAATGGGCACTGAGCCTTCTTTTTAAAATTTTATGCACTTTATCTCTTTTTGTTTCTTTATTGCTCTGGCTATAGCCTGTCTTTACTGTTGCTCTATGTTCTTGCTAACCCTGGTATTATCTGTCTTTAGCATTTTTTTCCCTTAGTTCCCACAACAAAGAATTAAAAATTTCTTTCAATGCAAATTTTTTGGTGATCAATTCTTTCATTATTTCTTTGTCTAAAAATGTCTTTATTTCACTGTGACTTTTGAAAGTGATTCTCTTTGGACACAGATTCTAGACTAGAGTTTATTTTCTTTAATCGCTTTAAAGATGTTCTACTGTTCTGGCTTCCACAGTTTGTGCTGAAAATTTAGATTTTTGCAGGTTATGTCTCTGACAAAGGTCTGATAACTATAATCCACAGAAAACTCAAACTAATCATTAAGAAAAGAGCAAATAGCCCCATTTCTTTGTGGGCAAGAGATTTGAACAGAAGCTTCTCTGAAAAAGTCAGGCATATGGCCTACAAACACATGAAAAAAATACTCATCATCTTTAATCATCAGAGAAATGCAAATCAAAACCACTGTGAGATATCATCTAACTCCTGTAAGATTAGCCCATGTCACAAGATCCCAGAACTATAGATGTTGGCATGGATGTGGAGAGAAGGAACACTTCCACACTACAGGTAGTAATACAAACTAATACAGCCCTTTTGGAAAGAAGTTTGGAGAATACTCAAGGAACTAAAAGTAGACCTA